GATCGCTCGATCTCCGACTCCGTGAAATTATTATTCGGCAAAAAAAGTTTTCCACTCTCTGTGTGACGCAAGTAGGTCACCAATTTCCAAACTCGATTTTCTCCGGTCTTCTCTGACCTTTTTTCGTTGTCTCGTGCCAAAAGAGGATCTTCCAAAGTTCGATCGTCGCCCACGAATTCTAACCCAGTTCTAGCAAAGGTGAAGTAAATATTGCCTCTGTCGCGCAACGTTAATTTTCCAATTCCGTTTTCGATCTCGTACAGAGCGTTTCAAAATTATCGGCCAGCGTAGCGTGGCGAACGAAGGGCAGAGGGAGGAGAGAAAACACGGATCCCTCGCGAACGTTTCACACGGGAGAGAACGGGAGTTATCGATTTAATTCCCCGGGAAAACTCACCGAGGGGGGAGGGGAGAGGGCGTTTGGGCAAGGGACTCTCGATGCGAAGGTTTCGACGTCTCCCTTTGTTCGTGTCTGTCAGCCCTTCGAGAAGCTACGACAAAAAGAAAAAACAAAATTCGCGTAACATGAATGTACACACATACATATATATATATACATAAATACAGCGGTTCGTAAAAGTGTTGGTATAATAATATATATATAATATATTAATATATAAAATTAATAGAAAATTTTATTTCTATAATATGAATTCAAATCATACACTTTATCAAGTTCAATTTTTTATAATTAAATCAGTTAAATTACTAATTAAAAATAAAAAAATACAATAACTATAATATAAAATAGTAAATAATTCATTTAAATTTGTATAAGGATATTCAATTATTTGTTTTCCTAATCATGTTAATATAATAAAAATATTAATGAATATTCAATAAATATATTTATTAATTGGATAAAATTTTGTATTTTTTATATTATTATTAATACAAGGTAAAAAAAATAAAACAAAAATAGATAAAAATGGTACATTTATCGTCACCTTTCATGGACGTATTTCCAAATATTCATTTCAGACTAAGATTTAAAATTGCAAAAGTTTGCAGGAGGCATCTCGCGTGATGCGAAACGATTCAGAATTAAGTGTTCGTTTCAACGAGTGAAACATATCTCCAAATCTCAAAACGAATAAATGTTCAACAAGTAACAATACATACTTGTATTATTAAAGCAATACAAATGCACAAGTAAATAACATTTCATGGAAATGTGACTGTCTACTTCTGACTTTATTTCACTTTTATCAACACTGGGTTTACGTCAATTTGACGAGTTTCTGATTTTACGAGCGAAATTGGAACAATTTTTACAATCCTCTCCTGGCGATTTTGGTCGATTTTTGGAATACATGTGTTTTTTCAAATCTCTAATTTCGAAGTCGCGTGGTTTCATTCAGTCGTCGACTTGAGATATAATTGAGGTATACAGGAAACGTAAACCTGGTGTTAATGAAACTAACGTCTAAGGACAAAAGCAAGCATCGTTAAATTGTTCAACGACGAGAAAAAAAGAAATGGACGAAAGTCTAGACATCAGTGTACAGGGTGTCCATAAAGTCTCTTTACAATTTCAGAAATTCGTTACAAAGACAAATGAAGAGGCAGATAAGTGGAAATTATTACGAAATGAGACGTATATATTTAAGTTTCTTTTTGCCTCATTTAACACTAGTACTACCAAAGTGGTGAAAATGACAAATTTATCATTTCTGTTATAGATATTTTACAGACGTGAAAACACTGTATTTTTAAACATTTAGATAATTTTTCGCAAAATATATAAATGAAAGCTTATATACACTGTATTATTATAAAGTTCTTTGACTTTGTTGTCTCTGATGGAAATTTTATTTCAATCATCGGCAGTTCTAGTGTTAATACACCTCTATATGGGCACCATTTTACCCTTTGGGGATGTTGTTGATAGATTGTGGTAGACTCTTGTTCGTAGTTAACTAAATTTATTTGACTAGGTTACACGAAGACGCGGTGAACATGTAGACGATCGTTTTATGTTCACGTCGCGGGTATATCGATCAGTCTCTTCTGACTGTCCGAATTCTTCTGTCTGCTCGCTGCTTTCTTCGCTATTAGGAAAACTCGATCCCCGTCTCGAACATCCCTAATTGCTCGAATCGTTTTTGAGTTTTAGCCAATTAGGCTGTCACGAAATTGCGCCGCCTACACCTTGCCTTCGTGACGCGTTTTCTCTGAGAGTGGGGCTGCGATTTCGCCGTGACCGATTTCCCTGAATTATCGCGATGTAGCAGGGTTTCCTCTGGGCCTCACTTACTTTCTCCAAGTGTTTTCCAGATGCAGATCTGAGTGGCCCTTAGGAGTCCTAGGAGTTTACGACGCTTCGCAGAAATGCTATTGTGGCCGAATTTCTAAAACCATAAGTGCTGACGTGTCTGATCTTTACGCACTGTAAAAACTAAACTTGGCCTTCGCAATTCAATAGCGTAGGCAACACGTGAGTCGTAAATTCCCCTAACTTTTTGTCTTTTCTCCGACATCTGCCAGCCGCTACAACCTCAAAGAAACTTAAATATATAAACGTCTCATTTTGTAATAATTTCCCACTTATCTGTCTTTGTAATAAATTTTTGAAATTGTGAAGAGACTTCATGGACACCCTGTCTTTTATTCTTATTGTTTCGCTGTTGTGGGCGTGTGCAAACACGCGTAACATTCCACGGCCGGTCGTCTGTGAACCGCGATGCGTTTCTACGCGAAGCGCGCGGCTAGAGACACGCTCATTCGGATGCGTCTCGCGTGCGTTTCTCCGTCGGAGGACCGGAAGCTGGCTCGTCGTGCGTGCAGCGTCACGCGTATCCGGTGCCCCGGAGTTCGTTTATCGAGGCCCAGCCAACTTCCACGAAAGGCCACGATTCTATTCCCCGCCTTTAACCCTTCTTCCACCAGCTCCTTACGCTCTCGCTCCTTTCCAGCCGATCTTCAGATTGTTCTGTCTCGAAAAGGAACGACATTTGTAATTTTAAGAGGTTTATTCTACGTTGCAACTGTGGTCAAGGATGCTTGATGGAAAAGATAGTCTTCTCTTCTCAGCACACGACGTCTTCTTATATATTTTTGTTTATGGCGAATCGAAGGGAGGGGGGGAAAGAACACAGATGATCAATTACTGGAATTTGTTCTGATGAATAAGTAGGTCACTTGAGATCTTTTAGATCTTCTGAGCCTCAGACAACAAAAAAATTTGTCAACGACATAGTTTACATATTTTTTTATCAGTTCAACCTATGTTATTTTTCGAGGACATTCGATTAGAAAAATATATTTATATTAATGAAAATATAAATATTTTTTAGATACCAGTTCATCAATATCTGGTTTGATACAGGTAGTGGCAATACGAAGAGTATCTTCAAGATGCTCCACTAAAATTTTTCTTCTTATTTTATTTTTCGCGTGCTTCGTATGGGAAAAAATCTGTTCGCAAATATAAGTACTCCCTAAAATATGCTTGAATATATTTTTTTAAACAGGTAGTTTACAAAAGTCTGATAAAGACAATTGGATAAATTTTTCCTTGGGTTGTGTATCTGTTTATCTCGATGCATTTGCATGTTCGCTGGCAACATATTGATATCAACTGAGAGTGGAGTAGCAAATATGCCAATCGTTTAAAATAAAAAATATTTCATTGGCTCTTATTATTTGTAATTAATCACTCCAACACTAAATTTAAAAACAAGGTATGATTATTCACGATTAAAATTATTCAAATAATAAAATTCTTATTCAAGTACTCCAATTTTGATTATACAGCGTGAATACGGTCTGAGGGCCGCGAGTTGGACCTGCTTTAGAAGGACTATTACTGATTCAGTATTAGCGTTGACAGCGAGCCAATATTGTCAGGCCTCGACTCAATTTGTCCTCGCCCTCTGTTTCTCGAATATAAATTCCGAATTCTCTTTGAATTTACCTCTAAATATAAGTCTGAGACTTTATATTTCAAGTTCATCGCGTTTTCCCACGAGACTTCCCATTCAATTTCATCTCTCAGTCAGTCACCTTTGCCTCGCGTTTTCCTTGCAAACGTGAATCCTTGGATGTGACGTAATCTAATGTAATAGGCCAGGACAATACATTTCAATCTCTCTCTCTCTCTCTTTCTCTCCGAAGAGACGAACACCGTCGAGTATCAAGGAAATTTCGCTTCCTTCCCAATGGGGGCCATCTGCGCCACGAATCATAATATTTGCAGGGCGGTGCGACGCGGTCGATACACGGATAAAGGGAAAGAGAGAGAGAGAGAGAAAGCAAGAGCGAGATACTCACGTTGCGTTAGTCGTGTCGTTCAACGACACATATGTACTTGTTCCAAGCATCGCGAGAAAATAGAAAGGAAAAAATGGCACCTCCTTCGCATGGAATCTCTAATATTCAATTTTTCTTCCATTCTGCTTTGCAGCCGTTTACAATTGACAAGATAGTCACGTTAGTCGTGTCGTTCAACGACACATATGTGCTTGTTCCAAGTATCGCGAAAAAATAGAATGAAAACAATGGCACCTCCTTCGCATGGAATCTCTAACATTCAATTTTTGTTCCATTCTGCTTTACAGCCGTTTACAATTGACAAGATAGTCACGTTAGTCGCGCCATATGTATTTGTTCCAAGTATCGCGAGAAATTAGAAAGAAAAAAATGGCACCTCCTTCGCATGGAATCTCTAACATTCAATTTTTGTTCCATTCTGCTTTACAGCCGTTTACAATTGACAAGATAGTCACGTTAGTCGTGTCATATGTATTTGTTCCAAGTATCGCGAGAAATTAGAAAGAAAAAAAATGGCACCTCCTTCGCATGGAATCTCTAACATTCAATTTTTGTTCCATTCTGCTTTACAGCCGTTTACAATTGACAAGATAGTCACGTTAATCGTGTTATATGTATTTGTTCCAAGTATCGCGAAAAAATAGAAAGAAAAAAGAAAAAAAGGAAAAAAGAAAAAAAAATGGCACAGAATCTCTAACATCCAGTTTTTGTTCCACTCTGTTTTGCAGCCGTTTACAATTGGCGAGGAGACACGCGCTATGGCCTTCCCTTGGAAATCGGCGAAACCGTACAGATCCTTGAAGAATGCGCTGGTAAGTGGGAAGACGAGATCCCCCCCGTAGGTTCCACGTATCGTTTGCAAAGTTTAGAAGCAGGCCGAACTGATCGATGGATGAACCGTTTTGCAGGTTGGTACAGGGGCTTCTCGACCAAGAACCGCGCGGTGAAGGGGATCTTCCCTAGCTCGTACGTCCATCTGAAACCATGCAAAATTGAAAACGAGGGATTGTTCGAGTCGGTGATACCTCTGGAAGATCCGGTGGTCCGAGAAGTCACCCTCGTGCTTCGAGAATGGGGCGGTATATGGAAGAGGCTTTACGTGGTGAGTGAGATGGGGGCGACTTTCCGCGCCACCCTTTTCCTTTTTCTCGTACCTACTTTTACCTTCTTTTACCTTCTTTTTCCTCGCGACAACGAGGCCAAATGGTTCGTCGCTGAAAATGGTTTCTGCGACAAATCCGGGATATACTTTCGCGTTATGAATGAAAAATGCGACGAGAAAGGGACGAAGAAGTGAAAAGAATTGAAACGTCGCGACTGGCTTGAATTCTCAACGCTAGGCTAAGACAAGACACCGCTCATTCGCTCGATAATGGAATTGCACAGACTTTTATATATATATATATGTATAATACCGAAAGACAACGCTATTTAGACATGTTTGAAAAATATTTCCGACGATTAATTCACAAGTTAAGGCGTGTTTTAAATTACCTCTGATCGAAGTATTTTTCCGCTGGAATTAAACCAGGAGCGGGAGAACTACAAATTCAACACGCTGCGCAAAGTGATGAGGGAGTTGCTGGAATGGCGGCGACAACTTTTGGCCGGCACCCTGACCACCGATCAAACGCGGGAACTGAAGCTGCGAATTATCAACAAAGTGGACTGGGGGAATCGGTAAGTTGGAACTGAAAGTTTGAGAATTGCGAGCATCGACGATAGAAAATTTGCGACTGGCCGATCGCGATTGTGTGGGGCGAAAGTCTCGATGGCCGAAAGCGAAATGCAACCGCGTTCGCCTCACCGATTTCAGCCATACACTTAATGGAATTTATTGAACGATTACGAACTTCCTCCTATCGTTGCTTGCTTCGGGTTTAACTCGCTGAGAAATGGCCACCGCAGAGATTACGGTCACACGAGTCCGACACACTTGTTTCACGCCTAGTAGTAGAGGCCTAGCTACCTAAGAAAACGTGTGTGAATGAGAAACGTCGTTGTGTATATAGAAAGAGTATATTCTTTATTCTACAATTGGTTCATTTTTCTTTATATTTGTCTGCTTTGCTCCCGTTACATCCAACGTTGCGCGTTATTGGCAGTCTTTGCGTCGACTTGGGCCGGCAATCGTTACGAATGAGCATTTAATCAATCTATAAACACGTCCTATAAAAAAAAAAAGAACTCGCTAAAGTAGGTTCTCCATATGCTATAAAGAAGGCACAATCGGTCTCGTTCAATCTTACACGTATCTATCATAATCTATCACTTAGAACGGGACTAACAGTAGCATATATAACATATTATTTTTTTTTTTTTTTTTACCAACTACGATAAACTAGCGGATAGTCGTACAGTTATATTATTGTCATTGCATATACTTATCGGCAGCATTACATTATTCTCGCGAGCACAGTCGGAGACGAACGGTGAATCGTGGAAACGACAAACGTGAGCATTGAACAGTGTGAGTTTACGCCGTGAAGATATATGGAGCGCTATTATGCTTCGTTTCGGGAAAAACAGAGAAAAGAAGAAACGGAATTTTCAACGAACGTTCAAGGTGTGTAAATGTTCCTTTAACGAAGCTTTCGAGACATTGAGAAACGAGTGACGGATTTTCCAATTTTCTCGGATTTCAACTCTTTGTACAATTTCACTTGCAAGTGGAGTCAGTTTGACCCGATGGTACGTGCCATCGAAATTGAATAAAGGTCCGTTCTATATTCGTAAATCTATATCAATTTAAATATATATAAATTACGTATGTGTGTTTTATAAAATATCGGATCATTGCTGCGAATAATCGGGAATGTCTCCAACGACAAGTGTAATTTTTTTTCTTTTTTTTTTTTTAATGAAGTTTGACATTACTCGCGCTAACCTCGCCACAAAACGTAACAACATCCCGCGTTGATTCCTCTCGTTACGACAATTGCACCAGTTACACGAAAATACGGAAAAGAAAAGGAAAACACATATCCGTATTCAATCCACACACGTCGCAAATAATTTTAAGAGAATGCACAGTATCTTCAAACGAAAGATTGCATAATTTCGCTATGCATGTTACACAGAACGAAACGCCTACATTCAGATACGTAAAAAATACAAGAGCTCTTTTGAGAATTAGTATCCTTAGAAATACTCGTATTTATTTCTATAATTTCTAAAAAGGAAAAAAAAAAGAAAAGAAAAGCTCGCACAGTCTCATTCTACGTTCAACTAAAAAAAATAGTGATCTGTCTAATAATACCACGTTATAACCGCTTCTCTTTCGTAAATCGAAAGTATATTCGAATGTCGCTTGTTGAACACTTGTCGATATCGTAAACGAATAATATATATTGCAATGGCTCCATCGACAAATGGAACGTTAGACGCAGCTTGACACACTTCCCGAAAGGCACTTACATCTTCATCGCGAATACACGCGAATTAATACAAAAGGAATGTGTGCACGTGTAACACAAAATAGGAATTGAGGAACACGTTCGATGCGAACATCCACGCGTAACGATTGATTTTGTTGGAAGGAAAACGAAGAAAATAAAAGGAAAAGGTGTTCTGAACCGCGTTCGCCCCTTTGAAATTCCACGACGATCATTCACGGTGTTATTATCGTGCTCTTAATGGACGCAGTCCGTGACTACAGGGTGGCGAACGCGATTACGTTACGCGTAACATTAGAGGATAATCGGCGAACACCTATATGCGTGTGAAATTCGGCTTACTATAATTTAACAGCGATAGACGATCGCACGCGACACACGCATTGCCCAGTCTAAAAGCGTCGCGCGTTATCGTCTACGTTACATATTCGTTCGATAACCTAACGCTAGTTTGTGCTATAGATGGTGTGAAACAACACACGGGCGTAATAACAGATTCGTAATTGAACACTGTCACCTTACGGCGAGCTACCGTTTGGCAACAATTTTCTCGGACGGCAAGCAAAATTCTTTGTTGGCGCATATACACAGATCGAAAGCGAAAGTTTCGGCAAGATCTCGTTCTTGTCGCGGTTTTCGACATCACTTCCCTTCCGTTTCGATGAAACCGACCGTCGATAGCACAAACGTGTTTCTCGAGAGAGAGACCGAAAGTGTCGGGATAGGATCCAAACACCGTCGGCCTTATCACAATGCAAAATAGAAGGCTGAAATACGATTGGAACGAGGGCTCGAAGCGTTTAGATCTCGGTGTCTTTCGCGTATTTTTCTATCTCCGGGTAAATGGGTGACATCTCGAGTGTGCTGGGCGCCGAGGGCACCGATGTCGGTGACGCGCCGCTCGTTGAGCAGACGTTCAACTGACGGCAGATCTCGTCCAATACATCGTTGAACATCATCACGTTCATGTTCTGTCCCAGTAGATGAAGCAACAGGAAGTCGCCGACCTGAAAATTTACATAGGAGATAATGGATACGTCCCCGTGTCACGAAACACACTATGGATCGCGATTATCTTTCAAACCGGTTATGCATCGAGAAACGAGTATCGGATAGATCGAATTCTCCCCTGGTACTTGACGGATATCGATCCGTGAAACCAGACCGATCTCGATTTTATTTTAAACGGCCGTTAACTCGAGCCTAATTAAAAACCACCGTTCCCTCTCGCAACTCCAACATTTCGTGCATTTCCAACGATCGTTTAGACCAGATCGCAACTCCTGTTTACCTGTGTCTCCCTGATGAGCGCGCTGACGCTGTCCGGCGTGCCAAATTTGAATCGCTTCTTGAGGATGGTCTCCCGGGTGCTAGGCAGCAACACCACCGCCATGCTGTAGAGGAGAGCGACGCCAGACAATACGGCTAGAATGATGAACCAGAACCAGAGGAAGATGTAGATCTTTTCGTTGAGAATGTTCAGGGCCAGGACGCAGAGGGCGTCGAATTTCTGAATGGTCCCGGAAGCACCGAATTTATGGAAGGTGCATTTGGTTACTCGCGGGAACACCTCGACCATGGGATCGGTGCGCTGCTCCTGGTTCATGTTACTGAACTTCAGTACGTCCGTTCCGTAAGAGAGGAAAGCACCACCGAGGAACGTATCGACGAAGAATATATTCCCCACCTGGAAGAAGAACGGTCGTTTAAACATCATTGTCAGATATTTTACGAATAATCCTAAATGAAAGATCTTACAAGTTAATTTTCATACGCGTTTTGTGAATATACCAAAATACCCCGAGCAAACAGGTTCCAAAAACCTGTGCTTTCAGAAGAGCGCCTTCTGATATTTCGTAGCCGGTTATCTCCAGCGTTGTCGCTCGAACAGCCAAAAATTAAAGGCGCGTTATTAAAGGCTCTGCTCGAGGTTTTACGATCGTTGCACAAAGAGGTACAACCTTTTACACACACACAAACACTACTCACCACGTTAACGAAGTTGAGTGCCTCGCAGAAGAAGTAACCAGCCGCGTAAGTGTTGTGCAGGTGTAAAGTGTCGCAAATGTACTTGGCCAGCCGAAGAGATTTCGCCTGTCGCTCGGACTTGTTATCCATCGAGGCTCCCCTCATGCCCTCGGATATCATTCTGACCTTGCCCTCCTCCCACTGCTTCCATATCCAATGGGGCATGTAGAACAGCACGCCTTGGAAAAATAGCATGAACGGTACCCACTGATAGTACGAGTGATACCTCTTCTCCCCAATGTCACCGCCAAGACCGGGGTGAGCCACGTGCGTGCCCACTGGTTTCCCACTGTTCTGCGGCAGTGTGAACGTGTACGTGATCCAGCAGTACGTGTTTATCACGTTCTCTGGTACACCTCCCTCGCTTAGGCAGTGTATCGGATCACCTGCAAAAATGATCGACTCGTTTTACTTCGAACTCTCGATGTTTCCACACTTTTCTCGAGCGGATTTTCATCTAGCAAAGGAATCATGTTTAATCACTTGCGCTGGCAATTGATTGCGGACCATAACGAGCGACCAAACCGTATACAATAATTCGTCGGTATGGTATCGCTGGATAGAAATTATTGAGAAGTAATAAATTTATTATTTGCTTTGCCTCTATTTTGTTTTACTTGAATATACTTAAAACTGAGGGAATATTGCAATTTTGGGACAAAAAAGATTCTCGACGCGCGTGGCACGTCATTCCAGCGCAAGAGGTTAAATTGCGCTGGCAACTGATTGCGGACCATAACGAGTGACCAAACTGTATACAATAATTTGTCGCTTTCTTTTTAAATTCGTTGGTATAATATCGCTGGATAGAAATTATTGAGAAGTAATAAATTTATTATTTGCTTTGCCTATTTTGTTTTACTTGAATGTACTTAAAACTGAGGGAATATTGCAATTTTGGGACAAAGAGGTTAACCACTTGCGCTGGCAACTAATTGCGGACCATAACGAGCGACCAAACCGTTGAAAAATTCATTCTCATTAGATTCCTTTTAACGTGTTCTTATCTGTACTAACCATATTTATCTTTTGCAACTTTTTTTATTGTATGACGAAGATAGCACAAAACTGTTTTGGATCAACATTGTTCGAAGTTCATGCGTTGACGCTTTGAATTTTCAGCCGGTTGAACGAAAAGTTTGGACAAGGATGATTCGATCGAGCAAAAGCTCCTTCCCCGATCTAATCGATCAAAAATTCATTTTCATCAAATTCCTTACCATTTTTACCAACTGTATCCTGCAATTTCTTAATTTTATACTAAACATAGCACAAAATTATTTTTGGCAAAAATATCGACGATGTTTTCATCGAGTTTGCTTTCAACCAGCTAAAAATTGAAACGAAAATACGCGAGAATGCGAGACGAAATCGCAAGTTCTCCGAAACGTTGATCGGATCTGTGAGCGTCGGATTGCGAATGACCTCGCGAGGAGAGACGCAACGGGCGTGCGTTATCCGTTTGATTATGAGCGCAATTGCGCGTAAAATTATGCAACCAGCGATACCCTGTCGGCGAGAACGTTGAACGGAACGAAGAGGATGGAAGAGGAGTGCGGCCACGGACCACCGGACCACGCACGGTGTACGAATCCCGATGGTGGTGCGTCGTGCGCGCGCGGCAGCTGATAGGTTGCTAGTTAAACAGGCTGATAACGCGCGACACTGTCGTGAATCTGGTCTGGAGGCCTCGTCATCCTCCTGCATGACAAGCAGCTGTAACCCGTGGATGCTGTGTGTCCCATCGATAAACAAGCACGCGATTATGTCCTCGAAACGGGACACGCACCGCACTGACTTCAATCACGATCGTCCGTGCGGCCAACATACGCTCCGTGGGTCGCGTTTATGCAACCGTTGCGCCGTTTGCTCTCTCTCTCTCTCTCTCTGCGATCCATTGTCGTCAGATAAGAGGATCATTTTTCAACCTTAATTCACTTACGGGATCGAGCGATTGTCGGAAATGAGAATAAGCAATCGCGCGGAGAAGCTGGATTCGATTCTGCGTGTATCTCTCTCTTGCCAATACGAAAGACTCACAATCGGAATCGTAGAAGAATGATAGTCTAACAACTCTCTGACCGCTCCGATTTTCGAGCAGTAAGTTAATTACTACATAAATAATAACTAGTAAAACTGGTATATCTGAAAGTTGAATTATGTCCTCCGTTATGTACTGTGTGGATTCTCACTGTACAAAAAACTACGTTGTACAAAGAACGTTGAACGAGTCATTGTTACCAAGAACTAAATCTTCGTCAGTGGAAACTGCGAAACCTCTTTTCCCTGGTCTTTACATTTGTAATTGCTGAATAATCTTGAAGCACTTTTTCAGCACGTGGGACTACGACCATATACATACGTGTAGCGAATTGCAAAATTTCTCGTATATTAACGCCTATCGTCCGTTTTGGAAAACATTTCTCTGAATTGTGTTCCGTGGTCAACCATGGAAAGTCTGGAGGCAGGAGAGGGAGAGAAAAAACTTACCTATTAGGTTACTAGCCGAGACAATGATGCAACAGGCGAACAGGATAGCACAGGTGATCCTGTAGTGCGCCCTGAATATCATGTTATCGATGATCGCCTTGTCCACTAAATACCGTACTTTGACGAACCCGGCCACCGCCGAGACCAGCCCAAACACCGCCATTGCTCTCCTCGATCAGCGTGTTCCTGGAAACCATCAAACGATCATACTCGTTATGCGTTTCACAATCGCGTGCAATCATACGACCATAACGATCGAAATCGCGTTCGTACAAATAAAAAAAAAAAAAAAAAAAAAAAAAAATGGTTTAAAAATATATCTCGGAGTCGTGATGTGATCAGTTGTGAAGTACATTTGCCGAGCAAAGTGTAATCACGATCGACGCGGTTCTCTGTCATCGGTAACTATCATTAAACGCTCGAGCATTTTATGTACATTCTTGTCGAGTACGTCAGTTACGCACTGCTCTTGGGTGAGTCAATGCTCTTGGGAACAGAGAGAAAGAGCATGGAGAACGCCAACGTCTCCAAGCTTGCGTGATGCTTTAATAACGCGACGTATATCTTGGCTTTATAATTAGAGTCGTAGTCTCGATGCCCTCGTCGCGATACCCCTGGCGCGATTAACGTTAATAACAGGCTTGACAAATTTCGTTTGTCGAGGCACAAGGGGGCTCTACGAGATGCCCGGCCAAACCAAACGATCATTGCCTACCAACGCACAAATACCACAAGTCTCGAGGTTTGATAAGTGTCAAAATGGTTAGGATCAAATCGTTTGGGGCGAAACGAACGGATCTCTCAAACGGCGCTTTTTGGTTAGAACGAAAACTGTTACGCTAGTTCTCGTGGTCGTAATATCTTAAACGTACTCTTTTACGTCACAACTGCATAATGCCGTCGGAATTGCATGAGAGAAGAAAGAGAAGAGAAGAAGAAGAAGAAAAAGAAGAATTATATTACGTTAGTCGGAAACGATTTACATAAAACGTAGGAAGAACAAACGCGAAAAACAAAAAAAAAAAAAAAAAAAATAACTACGAACGACGTCGATCGAACGGAACGATTAGAGCGCGATCGTATCGGCGAGTTCTCGCGTTTCCGGCCGCTCGAGTTGCCGCTGTTGCTCGCGGAATGCCGGAGTAGCACGGTAGCGAGGCTGGCGCAGAAAGGAGGCCGGAAACAGCAGATGCACGGAGGATCGATATACACAGAGGTCCGTCGCAGCATGCTCTTCAGACCGTGGATTGTTCTCGTGGCGAAACAAAAGCTTGCTCCCGAGCGAAGAAAAGGCTACCGACCGCCGCCGACTGTTGGATTTTCGTTCGGTGCCCTGAGAAAACCTTCTACCGTTTCAACCGGTGGCACGAGAAACGCGCGAAAAACACGCTATTTAACCCCGTGGCGTTGGCAACTTGGTTCGCGGACCATAACGAGTGACCAAACCGTATACAGTAATTCGTCGCTTTCTTTTCGAACTGAATTCAAAATGATGTCACTGGATAGAAATTACTAAGTGATAAAAAAAAATATGTATATATAAAATAATATGTATATATTAAATAAATTTATACTATAATTATATTATATATACATATATATATATATATATAATAAATTTGCTTGTTTTGCCTGTGTTGTATTTAAATATACTTAAAACTGAGAAAATATTGCAACTTTGGGCCAAAAAATTCTCGATGTACGTCATTCTAGAGGTTAACCACTTGCGCTGGCGACTGATTGCGGACCATAACGAGTGACCAAACCATATAAAATAATTCGTTGCTTTCTTTTTGAACGGAATTCAAAATGATATCACTGGATAGAAAAAAAATATATATATATAAAATAAATTTATACTATAATTATACTATATATATATATATATATAATAAATTTATTGCTTTTGCCTGTATTGCACTTAAAACTGAGAAAATATTGCAACTTTGGGACATAAAATTCTCTCCATACGTGGCAAGGAGTTAATGCGCTGCTCAGAATTTACGCGACACGACGACTCTCGATTCGATATGAAACGGTTCGCGGCCATTTCTATCGCGAACGGGGTCCATTTGGAGCCATTGCTCTTTCAAGCCTGACGCGACATTTTCAATAAACGAAATTGGATTGGCTTGAGGAGGGTATTGGCGCGGGCGAAGATTTGAAGGGCTCGGGGTATTATCGAAAGATAGATGAAAATTTCATTGCGAGAAAAATAGCGGCAGAACGATTTGGCATCGGTGCTACCACCGATTCTCGAACGAATTGTCTTTTGCGTGACAAAGGTTTCCTCTTTCAGACTACTCCTCGTTAGATTACCACTCTATTTTAAGCCTCCGCCGAGTTTAAAAAAAAAAAAAGAAGAAATACCCCGGCCGTAATTAGTCACAAAGTCTCGCCTCGTAAACGAAGCTCATCTGCAACGACTTACGCAACGTCCATAATTCGTACGAGTCGCTTGAGCTTCGAACGAGATCGTTTCATAGACGTTAAAACCGGATCGGATTCGAGCTGGTAAGCTAAAACAGCCGACTGGTGGGACGTAGGATGTTTATTAGTTAATTAATTGATAGCAGACGAGACACGTGCCCGCTGCAAAGGGTCAATCTGCAAGCTGTTCAGGATTGCTATAGCGCGAACATTCGTCGACTCTGGCTACAGAACTCTCTCTCCTTCCTACGCAACGCCGAGCGACTTTGATTTCGCCTTACGACGACAAAATTATGACGAGAACTGTCGCGTCAAAGGCTGCTCGTCAAGACGATGCATTATTACGTTTCGTCCTATTAGCCACACGAGTGAAGCGAGATGACGAGCGATCGTAAGCGTTCGCAAACGCTTGCGCCAGAAGCATGCGGTCGCCAGGCGTTTGCAAGTGTTCTCGAGGTAAGCAAGAGCGAGAGATGGCCACCGTTGGCGAGGATATCGCGTGTAATTTCAGAACGTGTCTACGGCGCAACGCGTGACGGATGACTAAAAACGATCTACAATTTCTGCAAGACGCGCGTCGTCGCGTATCGCTTCCGACGGCTTATCGACACACCACGCCGTCTATCTATATGCGCGCGCTCTATCAACTTCTTGATTTCCCATTTCGTCCAATCGATTTTTTTCGATCCACATTCAAAGTCCACGTAGATATTTCCGCGCGAGGAACGCGACTTTACATGCAAATGAGTTCGAGAGTTCTCGCGACAACGGTCTTGCAGTTCCTTCTGCACGCTTCTTCGAAACGTTCTCGGTTAACGAACATACAAGTCAAACCAGTTGCCCGGCTGTTTCTTGCGAAACGGGAGAAGGGGAGAAGCGCGGCTCGCCAGCGGGAGTGGACAACACTGACAACGCGAGAAAACGCTTTCTACCGCCAACGTCTCCGACGATCGTTCAAACAATTCATTAGAACCACCTCTTACTCCCGCCTCTTTCCATTTAACGCTTCGCCTATTTCCACTTCTGTCCAATTGCAAATGTCTAGTGTAAACTTTGACTCGACCACCGCTCTCTTCCCTCGACCCTGTTTCTTCTAACCTCTGCACACTGCGCTTTGGTTTCCAGAGAAGTACCTTTGACTGGTCTGACGAAATTAAAATTTATTTTCCAGGAGAAATTTCCTGATTTGCCGATCAGGAACTCGTTTTGCTCGGAGGAAATCGGCATGTAGCACGCGTTTTCTATGGCTTTAACCTCTTGCGCTAGTAACTGGCTCACGGACCATAACGAGTGACCAAACCGTATACGATAATTCGTCTTCTTTTTGAATTCATTCGGTATATCACTGGATAAAAATTACTAAGAAGTAATAAATTTATCATTTGTTTTGCCTGGGTTATATTTCGATATACTTGAAAAATACTGAGAAAATATTGCAATTTTGGGCCAAATATTCTCGACGTGCGTGGCACGTTATTTCAGCGCAAGAGGTTAAACCCATTCGAAATGGATTACATACTGTGTGTATAATGAATTATTGATTATTAATGAAGAAGTAGCCATGATGATAAGATCGTCCTGAGATAAAGTAAAGATGAAAATTTGCTTGCAAAGGTAATTGTGTTTGGAAGAGTGTTTCAAAGATTACCACAAACAAAAAAGAAAAACAAGTGTCGTTGGAGGGAAACAAGTGTCGCTTTCTAATTAATTTATTATCTCTGCAATGTTTTCCTAAAATTAATTTACGAGTTATCTTCTAATTTCTATTACTGAACCGAAAACAATGATCTTGCCTTTCCCCCCTCGTAATAAAAATATTCTGAACAGCCAATTACACACGCCATGTTATTTATACGAAAAAAGTGTTTGCAATTTTAATTTCTCACCTAAACTTCTTTTCTTCTGTTTAAACTGTCCGACGTAGAGAAATGAAAAAGTTTCCGCTCCTGGCGTCTTTAAAAATAATTCTTCGTCTCGAATGGGTTAATCGGCGGACGTTAGCTTCGAAAACCGAAGGTGGTACCGGTCGGAATCTCAAGTAACCACGGGACACCACGGTGGTTTTTCAATGCGCGTCGTCCTGACTCTCGCGACCGCAACGGTCAGCCAACCTCGTATACCGGCGTGTACGCGAATATCGCTTGCTATCGAGTTACGGGCCAGGGGAACAGGTTTGGAATTGGTGCCTTATTCGGTGAAATATCACGAGAACCGGTCGATCCCGCGCGTTTCGGCCAGGTACATACATACTTGTACTTGTTCGCCGATTCGAAATATCATCGCGCTCTATATTGTCGATTCGTGTCCGCTGTAAATTTCAATATTTAGTTGCGTATATTTGGCGTTCGATTAGTTCCACGCAATTAATTTTTCCAACCCGTTGCGTTAACAATGCACGTGTCGATCTCTACGATGAAATTAAACATATAGATTGTAATATTTTGAACATGTTAAAAAAAATAAATTATAATTTATTTATAAATTAATTATTTATATATTATTATAAATTATAAAATTATAAAATAAATTATAACTAATTTCATAGTTATATAAATTAATTATAATCAAGCAAAATATTTTATAAAATATAAACATGTTGATTGAAATTAAATTCTACAATCGTAGATCGTAAATTTTGATCACAGCGTAAAGCTTAACGTTGTACTCGCTTTAAAACGCACAACGTGCATGCTATCTCTTTTTTTTTTTTTTTTTTTTTTTCATTGAAGAGATCCTCGCACGAAATATTTTTTTAAAT